GATTAATTATAAATGTTTTGGTTAATTGATTTATATGTATAAAGACCAATGTGGAGATACGCATTATGTAGAATATTGAGAATTTATTGCAAAATGAAAACTCTTTCTTCAATAGCCTATGAATCATCGTACATGCTTCCGCGCTACATCCTGCGAAATTCCACGTATACGCTATATCGCGCTAAAATCAGTAGCGTAAAATTGGATGATTAAAGAAGCAGCGAATAAGAACGAGTATCTCGTGATAGCTATCTTTTCTTCTTACGTGTTTTATGTTAAAAAAACGATACACATCAATGACGATTTAGCCAAATGCCAGTTAAATAGAATCACAACACTATTGACTCGGTCATTCTCATTGTCAATTATCTTTATTTAAATAATACATTTTTTTTATTTTAGGCATAATTTCGGATGTTTCAGAAATATGATAGTCATTTGTATTTGAGCTTCTCAGTGCTATTTATTCGGCATTTCTCTATAGTTTGTATAACAAATAATTAAAAAAAAGAAGAAAGAGTAAGCTACGTACGTTATTTTCACCGGATAACATATGTATAGCATCTTCCTTTGCTCAGAAATGATGAAAAAAATAGCCCCATTTCTACTTCGCGAAGTATAGGTGCGATTAATATGCAATTATTCGGATCAACAATGAGATCGCCAGTCAATACTAACTTTTTGAGACTCTCCCCTTTGAAATTGAAGATTACCCGTATAAAAAGAGCAATCTATTTTATCAAGAAATATGAGATATGATGATATAATTATGTAGAAATGTGACTATAGGATATAGTATCATTTAATGATTATCGTCATTAATGTATTGGCGAACGGAGTGGTAGTTTCACTCGTTTCACGAGCTAATTTTGGGTGGCTACGTTCTATCGCAGTAAACCATATGTACGCGTCGTTAATCATTGGACGTTGACGGAAAAAACTATAAACTTTTTTTATTTCACGAATATCATAGATGATTATTTGCGAAAGATTACAGCAAAAATCGCTACATAGTGTAAATATATGTATATACATTTTATATATATATATATATAGTATATGTATATATAAATGTATATTATGTATGTAGGTATAATATAATTCAAAGTTTTCAAAAAAACTGGATTTCAGAATTTATTATTGAATTTTCGAGAAAACAAATGAGATATAAAAAAGACAGTATACATATAATAGAAAGCGATAAGTGTTTTCCTGTTTATTTTCACGCTAAATTATGATATTATTACACAAACTGAAGTATCTTCAATTATTCCGTTTGCTGCAGGTAGTGACTTCCCAATTAATGTCTTCCTTCCTACTTCTGTTAACTGTTGCATGTTTTTTTTTTTTAACATACCTATCAGTCTTTTATTTTCAAAAACTAAAATTAGGAAATTTTTTAATTGAAATAATATTCGAAGAAAAGGTAATAAAATGAAAATAGATATATAACTCATCAGAATAATTTTTATATTTTCCAAATTAATTTTCATAAAATTTGGTGGAAACTTTCTACAAATAAATGTATAAAAGTGTTCATAAGAAATCTATTTATAATATAATTATGCAAAAAAATTACACAAGATTTGATTTAAATTCGGACATTACTACCACGGTAGTTTGTACTTCACACTTAAATATTAATTTATATTTTGTATGCGCTACCATTATGTATGTAACTTTTATATTTTAATCAATTTTCTTTGTACTCTGAAGAGGAGCTCAGGTCGAAACATACACGCTTCATTATTCATTTCAAATAAATTTTATATAAAAAAACACATACTAATAATCTGTGTCGGCTCATATTGACATTTTATTAATTTTCTTGGATTTATTCATCTGAGTTTATCTTGTTTTTTTATAATTATGCAAATTACAAAGAAATGTTGGATATATTAAGAGTAGTATATTTAAAGAGAGAGGGAGATAATGCTAAAAAACAATTTTACATATATCTGTTTCACATATACATGCGTACGCATATATTCATGCGTTTTGTAAAACTGCGCGAACGTTTACAATACTCGTTTCGCATCACGTATGCTACACAAGAGAAATAATACATTACCATGTAATGCTCATAGTGACACATACCGGTGCTTTGTTTCAAAGAATAACGGTACGTACGTGCACGTACAATGCGAAATACCAGAAATGAAAAAAATTAGTATACATTACGTACTGTGTTGAATTCAGCTCTGGCTACTTTAATTTTATCTGTATTACATATCTATTTGTATGGTATATCTATCGGAAAAATATCGAAGCAGAAGAATCCATAAATAATTTGAAAGCAGCATATATGTTGTTTAAATTAATATACTGTGTTTTAATTAATATGTCAATATATGTAAATTAAGTGTACTATAAACATGATCTGATTTCAAATAAAACTAAACTTTGGTTATATATCAAATAGAAAAAAAATGATATTTATATAGAAACAATGCGGAATACAATATTCGATATAATATTATTAAGATATCTATTTTAGCATATATATTGTAGTGAGACTTACAAGTCGATGAAATTCCTTCAATAGAAATCATAACGATTACTTATACATCCATAATAAACGATCGAGCATTCTTTAATTTCTACAAACGAAATCAACAGTCATGATATGTAATAGACCGTTAGACAAATATTTCTTATATCTATTTAGTACATCGTGGTTTATTTTAGCAATAATTACAGATAGTAAATTAATTTTACTGTCAATTTTGTTTTTATTTTTTTAAACAAACGCCACAAACTAAAATAATGATAAGATAGGGTCATATAGTTAAAAATATACAAATACATATGTATATATTTATATTTTACATTTTTTGTATCAGACAAATATCAATTGATGATAAAATAGGCTACCTTTATTGTTATTTATTGATAATATTGATAAAATTGTAGAAAAAAATTATTATTAAAAAAAATAAATCTATGTTTTTATTTTTATCTGTAAATATAATTTCTATAATCTAATTAGATATTTGTGTTGATAATCAAAAAGTTGTATATTATCTGTAGTCGATCGAAAAGTATCTATAGTCGATAATACGTGTGTGTGTGTGTGTGTGTGGATATTCTTCAATTATATCCAAACTTCATTGAGTAAGTGGCAGAGATGGTAGAATCTATTGATATTATGTATAATATAATGTATGTAGAATTGATGTTTTCACTCTCCAATGTTCTGCTAACACAGTATCTGGAGAATATAGACATGTACATTTTTTTATTGTTCGTACAAATACCTCTAATTATCATAATTTGTAGTTTATAAAATGTAATGATTATTTATACTATATAATTTATTATTAGATTATAAGTAAATATTTACGATATTATTGATATTGTCGTATATTACTGCAAATGTGCTGATATTTTTCGTAAAATTATCATTATTAATATTATATTAATCAAACACAAATTGAAGTAAAATAAAAACGTTCTTTTAAATAAAAATTGAATATTGTAGGTGAATGCATATCTATAAAAAATCAAAATAATATATTTTATCATTTTACGTTATGACTGTGTAAATTTTGACAGTTACGAGAACTTTTATAAGATTGTCAGTCTTTAATAATATCTTGTCAATATTATTAATATATAAGTTAATTTAAGTTTTTAATTAATATAAGAAACTTTTATTAAAATAAATCGAATTATGTAGATAAAAAGAGAAGTAGCCGACTGCTAAAAGTTAATGAGCATGTAATGATGGAGCTATTAAGCTGCATGGTAAACATTTTATTGAAAGACTTTCATCAAATATTATTTTACACTTGTATTAATATTGCATTGTAACATAGCTGATAAAAATGCTGTCATTTTCTTCAAATCACATTGATAAGTGAACAGAAATGATTCAAAGCATTAATTAAATTGAATGAAAATAAAAGATAAGCAAGAGGAAATGAAAAGAAAAAGAGAGAAAAATTCTGATAATAATTATTAAAGTTAGGACATTGCATTATATTTGGAAAATTATTTATATATCAAATAAAACATTAACATTTAGTAATAGAATATCTACGTAATACACAAGTCACATATAAAAGATATGAATATTTAAAATATATCTAAAAAATCAAATGCTTGCCTTTAAAGCTATCGGTAGTATTGTAGAAAGAAGCGACGTTGTCTTACGATTAGTTAGAAATATCGAAGGACAAATGCGAATGGGTCAATTTCTGCGCGCTCTGTTAGTCGACCTTCTGCAAGGTCCTCCAATGAGCACGAGAGGACTTTGCGGCTGGAATGCGTGACTCGACGATTTTATAACCCGCTTTCAATTACCCTTCTTGGTGCTCCTCTTTCGTTCGCCTCGCGCCATTGCTGCAGAACGAGAAGAAGAGGGAAATACCGCAACGCGAGCAAAAGGCATGAAACGTCCAAATGCCGCGTTGCGCAGCGACGCGATGCGTCGCACTGCGTTTGTATTCTTATACCTCCTTTCTTGCCCGCCTACTCTTTTTCTTACTCACGGGGACGTGATTTATTCGACATCAGATAAACACATACAATCTTGCACACAGTCAGGAATACGATTCGATAATGGTGTGCGTAGCTAGACAGGAAACGCGTCTAAGGACATCCACCCCAACGAGCAAACAATTCGTTTTGGCTCGTTTGCTCTTTCTCTCTCTCTCTCTCTTCCTCTTTGCTGAATTCGAAACGATGTGTCTATGAGACATCAAACAATTAACTTTCTACAAACGCAAATTTCTACTCACGGAAATAAAATAACTTTCATTTTTAAATTTGAGTTGTAATAATTATTTTATTATCTTAACATTAATTATAGAATAATATTAATTAATTATTATTATTAAAATAAATAATCTTAACGAAATAACATGTTATTATAATGTTAGAGTGTTGAATATTCAATATATTAATAATTTCTTTACAAAAATTAATTAATTGATCTTTTTTCCCAATAGGATTACAATATTACAAAAACACATTTATCCCTTTTCAGACCCCACACGATGGTGCTGGTCCTGTTGATACTTATAATCGGATTTGCGGCAGCAAATCCTTTTCCAAATACATCGAACAACCGATTAGTCCCTCAAGTCCAAAAAGTGCTTTCGCTTTCCACGGAGAATCATTTGGATAGAATAGACGACAGCTCAGATCAAATAAATGAAACGGTAGAAAATACGAATGAAACTGCTCTATTAATTCCGAAGCACACGATCCATTTCAAAGTTTCCGAGTCGAAGACAAGTGAAAATGAGAAAAATGAGAAAAGGACACAAGCACGGAAACATAAAGCTTTATTTGTAGATTATCCTCTGTTATCGCGTATCATACATTATCCAAGGGTGTCTGCGTATAAAATCGGTTACAACGACGATTCAGAGTTGACAGCCAACGATAGATCATCGGACGAGTCTAAGAGATACCAGGATCAAGAGAGTGATATCTTTTATATCCGACTTCCGCCTATTCCATACATGTTTGTACCCGGTCTCGGATACATCTCGCAACCACCCACATACTCAAGCGCTTCCTTGAAGCCCCAGATACCCCTTGTTCCTCAACTAGTCCAGCTACATCACGTGAGACCTGTGCGACCTCAACCAGCCTCTCAACAGACCGTTAATTCCTTCATCAAATTGCCTATAGACTTCATAAGCAACGGCAAGCCCACCTCCGTTTACCAATGGCAAAGGAAACCTGGCAAGAAGCCAACCGACAGTCCAATCACGAACCTGGACAACCTGTCAGCCGACTTCGTGAACAACGGTAAGCCGACCTCTATTTATCAATGGCAAGCGAATCTCAGGCCGGTAAAGAGGCCGGATGATTCGCTTAATAGTCTTGATATGGGACCTTACACCTTTAATGGCAAACTAACCAACGTGTACTTGCTTGAATCGAATGACTCCACCACAATGCATCAGTCCATTCGACAGTCCAATTATGTGCATAAATAAATTTAATTTAATATGATCATGCCAATTATTCAAAATCGGAAGCAATCACGGTACAGAGGAACATTAGGCAGACGATAACGCGAGTGACAATTTTACTACTACAGACGTTCATTGAAACTATTTTTTAAATAATATAATTGTATCTCTATAAATAGCATAGATTCGCGCGAAAATTAAATAATTTTAAAGTATATAAAAGATTATATATCATTTAAAATTTAAACTATTTAAAGATATTGTTTTAATTTGTGTACATTATTGAACGTTTATAATATTTATTGGTCTGTGCAATATTCATCAATTTGTAAATATGTGAAATATATGTACAAATGATGTTAAGAATAAGGATATCACTTAGCCGTAATGGCAAAGTAAAAAGCTGCATATTTCCTACACTTCGTCCTTTACAAACAAATATTGACTTGGGATATGGGTTTGGTCAGATTGTCTGGACTATATCCTGTCTGGTTACAAACATGCTCAATTCATTCAGATTAGGCGTATAAGGGGATTCAATATCTGCAAGATTATTTCGATGTGCACTGTGATTTTGCCATTCCATCTAAAACATTATGTACTTATACATATATGTATACGCGCGTATAATGTGTATGCGTGTATCATATGTACAGTTTTATATGAATATATATATATTTTTTTATTTATTATATAACAATAAATTATTGTTTCAATTTTCTAATAATACATATATGTGTATATATATTATATTATTTGTTATACTTATTTCGACGGTGATAAAACATTCTATAATTTGAAAGATGGGAAAGACGTCAATAGTGTAATGTAATAATAATGTTTATTATATTCGGTAAATACAAAAGCATTATAATTAATGCCTTAATTAATTAATGACTTTACAAAAATATATTTATACATAATGTAGAAATGCAAGTGTCAAGTCTTGCTAAAACAATAATAAATAAATAATTAAAGAAATTATATGCGAATTATATAAGATCATAACATTTATCCTTCTCGTTTATATCACAGATATTTTTTTTCACGAAATGTAATCAGTCAGCAATGTTTTGCTCATTTTATCTGGTAAAAGGATATAATGTGTAAAAACAATTATCTTCGTTGAACAAGATGTTCTCCTTAATATTTTGAATGTACACGCTCAATTACCAAAAAATGTGGTCCCAGAGGCAAGCAGCTCGTCACCGATGTGGCCGTTCCTTGCAGATATTAAAGTAAATGCGCTATAACGGGTTACAAGGGTTCTCATCCAGATACAAAGTGGTAGAGCAAGGTCATAAACCAGAGGTCTATAGATTCATTAGTTTCTATGTGTTATCTTACTAATTAAACATTTATTCACATTTGCTTAATGCAATTTTGAAATATCCAATGTTATGACAAACCGCAATAAGAATTATGCACATAACATAAAGTTATTTCTAATTTAATTCATATGTATATGCCTTTCTAAAGATTTAAATCTAATTAGTAATTATCTGATTATTCAAATCTAATTTCGAATATAACTTTTTATTATTATGTGTATATTAAAAGAGATAAAGTTTTTCCAAATAATAATAATGACAAGTAAATATCTTGAGATTTTTTACCATTGCTAAAATATTGATTAAACACGAAAAATGCAGGCATTTGGGTTTTTAAATATGTAATTGTCAAAACAAAGTATACAAAGAGCTATAAATATTTTTATTCGTTACACTGAATATGTATACGCTTCATTACATTCGAGCGCACTTCGGATGTCTAGAATATAGAAAAAAATATATTCAACATAAAAAATTTCCGCGTCAATGCACGTAGGAGGAAAGTTTTACATGTTGTACAAAAACATGCGTATTGTCCAGTCGTAATGGAAAATTTACCTATAGCTATGGAAACATTTTATGTTGATTAAGTATTCGACATACTTAAATATATGGATCAATCATGCTTACGTGATTATACGCAAACGACGAACGCACGTGTAAAAATGCGATAGTATATCCGCATGTTTATTATATATATAAAAATATATTATACAATTAATTCAATAATGGAGAATTTGATTATAAGATCGATCTTCCAGCGGGAAGACACTATTCGGCGATCGTATACTGAAAAACAATCCTACATTTTAGCTAAATATATGCTAAAAAAACAAAAGCACTAACTCAATTTAAGATGAAGCTCTGTAAAAGAGAGATTAGTCTTTCTGTTCCTTAATAAATCAATCTAAAATTCTTATATTGATCTAAGTAAAAATATATAGTATTTTTTGCTTTTCTTAATTAAATCTTGTATATAAATAAAAAAGCAAATAAAGAGATAAAAAGAAGCTACTTTATATATATATATATATATATTATGCAAGTTGAATGTCACATAGTAATAGCTTAATCAATAGATACTTATATTATGTGTAAATAGTGTAAATAGCTATCCAATGCAGGACAGACATGGAACATTCAGTCATAATCTCAGTAATACTATCATGTTTTAAGTTAGTAACACACCGAAAGTTTCCGCAAACACATAAATAAAATAATAAATTGTTCTATTCTCGACTTTCTTTTAAGTATTTGCTCGTAAGTTTTGTATACTTGTAGTTAGAATAAAATCAATCGTCATAGCACTGAAGTCACATTTTTTTTAAATATCTTACTCATCAGATTTTTGTAGACCTCACAAGATCATTGCTTTTATTTTAGTACTAAAAGACAAACTATGTATTCTATGTATCTTTGACAACCAGAAACATATAGCAGTAAATCCACTTTTTATTGCCTGTTAGTACATCAAACATTGCATTAAATTTAAATTAAATTTTTTTCATCAATCAAAACTATCGCTTTTTTAGCCTTCGTCAAAGGAGTTCTGCACATTATTTACCATTAATTTCTTTTCTAATTGCAACATATTTTTTAAACAAATAATAATTAACATTGAAAACATGGCATTGTAAGAAGAATCAAGAAATCATTTTTTTTTTAAATTAATTCGCTTCTAAATTGTTAGCAGAAATAATTCAGCCATTTTTCTTCATTATGTAATGTAATGTCGTTTTTCAAAATTAGTAATTACTATGATGTCTAACAGATCCTTGCAAAACTCTCTTGATTGAAAGAAACGTTTTAAAATACAAAACAGTAAAGTTATCAATAAAATGTCCTATATAAAAAGTTTTGTCTAGTGGTGTTTCAGTCTTATAACAATTAGAAAAAAAATCTTTTTTAAATTATCCTATAAAGCTGCCTTTTAAAATAATACATTCTTATATAAAAAGTAATAAATGTATAGACGTTTAGTACCATTTGCGGAAATTTTTGATGTTGCCTATATAGATACAATTAATTGATACCGATGATTATTATTAATAGATGTAAAATATGTTTTGTGAAAATACGATATGCTCAAATTCCTCATCCACTTGTCAGCTAATAAGGCAATGTAATAATTTAAATAATAGCTGTTGTTTCGTCGCACAATAGAATGGATTATCTGAATATACATAGATAACGTAAAATTAAAAACGTATGAAGAAATTAATTTATCAACAAGATGCGATAATAAAACTTATGTTTGCACATTGCTATTATTTACTTATTTTAATACATTTTTATTTGTAAAGATAATAACGATGTATGGTATATTTAACAGAAGTGGAACAGTTTATGGAATGCATTGTCTTGAATAAGAATGACTATAGGCATGAAAGTCTCTGTTTCTCTCTTTTTCTTTCTCCTTCTTTCTTCCTTTTTTGCATTTTATCGTTGTCAATTTGAATGGCAATTCCTGATCCTGTATAAACAGAGTAGTATGCATCTACTTAAGCTAACAGGCAGGCGAGTCAATTATTAAGATATTACACGATTATACGAACAATCGAAGATTAAGGAAGATTAAGAAGAGGATGATAGTACACTGGCTTGCGACTCTTTTCCATAATGTAGAAAGCTTTAGGCTTGCCATTTCCGGGAAAGTTCTTGTGGATGCTGGTGGAACCCGTCTTAGTGGCGATTGGTGCATAATATGAAGTGGCAGCTTTTTTCCGGTGCTTTTTCATCTTCGGTACAGTGTTCCTTGAACCGTGGAGTTCATTGGTCATGTGAATCCTATGTACATTTAAATCGTCCAATCTAAACGCCTTGTTGCCAAGATTATTCTTTTTCGTCGATTTGAATTTAATATTGTCGTTGTCATTGTTTGAATAGCTGAGTCTCTTGTCATTATTTCTGATGTGTTTTGTCACTGGTTGCTTTTGGTGGTGCAAATGAAATTGGTTATCGGCAGCACGATACTCGTAACTTTTGCTAGTAGTATCGAGCGGATAAAGCTTATTCAGTATGGTTTTTGTAGAAGACGTTTGCTGCTGTTTCTTTATATCCTCCAACTTTTTTCTAGCGTCAATTCTCAGTTGACTCAGTTGAAGACGCTTCTTCTCCATCATTTTCTTTACGACCGGTAAATTCCAATGATAAATCTTGGCAGGTTTACCATTTCCTTGGAATCCTACTGGAAAACTTGGGCCGGTCTTAGTGACTTTATCATCGTTGACGGATTTGTGAGGCTTCGTAATGGTGTAGTATGGAGGACTAGCCGGAAGTTTCACGATATAAACGTGGCTGTCGCGGTGTCCATGACGACGACTGTAAGGCTGATGTATGCGCGTTTGCGAGCTGAGTCCCGGTGGTTCAGGCCCGGCTAATCGCTTCTTATGATGTCCGTCGGGTATTTGAAGAGGCGTCAGTCCAAGTCGGTTTAGAACAGCCGCGTTGCTTGTATGAACCGTCTCGAAACTTTCCTCGGAAGTAGTCGCAGTAACGAGACTGCTGAAGAATATCAGTAGTAAGCCACTTGAAAGAAATAATCTGAAATAAAAATCAAATACATCATCATGTATCTTTATGTAGCGATGAATTCAATAATAAACATTAATGTATTAAGTATAAAATTATTGATGTATATATAAATATAAAAATAATTAAATTACAGAATTACTATATATATATTTATTACAT